GGCACTGGAGGGGGCCACGTGCGGCTTGGTCATGTGACTGTCATTCCGGTTTTGCTGACTCAGCGACATGCACTCCAACGTCCAACATCGTGACTGCCTCGAAGGCCTGTTGGTGATCACGACAGGCAGCCTCAGAAGGATGGCATCAGAGCATCGGGGATAGTCTGCGCTGGTCCTGTTGTTCTCCTGGTACCCTGTCCTACTGCTCTCGTTTTCTGATGTTTGTGTTCGGAGGGCCCCTTTCTTGATTCATCATCAAATATCAAATACTGGCACCAAGACCACCATGCGCTGCGCACCAAGACCGCTTCTCCTGCGTCAAGCCGTACGGCCACGGCAGCAAACATGTCTATCCTTCCTCTCTCGCAACTTGAGCGCAGAAGCACACTGCCGCCTGGAAATTGAGTTGACAGCACCAAATGGTGTCACGTGGAAGCAACCACGGGGCCTCTTTATCAACAATGAGTTTGTCAACAGCAGCAACGGCCAGCAGATCACAACAGTCAACCCCTTGTGAGGCCCATTTCTTTCAGAGACTACTCTCAGCACATGTCTGACAGTGACAGCACCGAACAACCCATCTGCTCAGTCCATGCCGCCACAGAATCCGACGTCGACTCGGCCGTCGCCGCCGCCCGTGCCGCCTTCCAGCACCCGTCCTGGCGTGACCTGTCGTCCTCGGCACGGGGCCAGCTCCTCCACAACCTCGCCGACCTCGTCGAGGCCAACGCCTTGACGCTGGCCACCATCGAGACGCTCGACAACGGCAAGCCCCTGTCGGCGAGCCTCACCGAGGACATTCCAGACCTCGTGTCCGTGCTCCGCTACTATGCCGGCTGGGCCGACAAGAGGCACGGCCAGACCATGGATCTCGGCCCCGCCAAGCTCGCCTACACGCTGCGCCAGCCGCTCGGCGTCTGCGCGCAGATCATCCCCTGGAACTACCCGCTGTCCATGGCCGGCTGGAAGCTGGCCCCGGCCCTCGCCGCCGGCAACACGCTCGTCCTCAAGCCCGCCGAGCAGACGCCCCTGTCCATGCTCTATCTCGCCAGCCTCGTGCCCGCCGCCGGGCTGCCGCGCGGCGTCCTCAACGTCCTCAACGGCCGCGGCCCCGATGCCGGCGCCGCCCTCGCCGCCCACGCCGGCGTCGACAAGCTCGCCTTCACCGGCAGCACGCCGACCGGCCGCGCCGTCATGCGCCTGGCCGCCGCCACCCTCAAGCCCGTGACCCTCGAGACGGGCGGCAAGTCGCCGCTCCTCGTCTTCCCCGACGCCGAACTCGACCGCGCCGCCCGCTGGGCCCACGTCGGCCTCATGGCCAACGCCGGCCAGGTCTGCACCGCCACCTCGCGCCTCCTCGTCCACGACGACGTCCACGACGCCTTCCTCGCGCGCTTCCTCGCCGTCGTCCGCGACGTCTCCGTGCTCGGCGACCCCTTTGCGCCCTCGACCTTCCAGGGGCCCCAGATCACGCGCAAGCAGCAGCAGGACATTCTCGCGCGCGTCGCCGACGCCGTCGCCGAGGGCGCGACCCTCGCCCTGGGCGGCGAGGCCGCACGGCCGCCGTCGCTGTCGTCGTCGTCGTCGTCGTCGTCGCCCGACGGGACCGGCTTCTTCGTCCCGCCGACGGTGCTGACGGACGTGACGCCGCGCATGCGCGTGTTCCGGGACGAGATCTTCGGGCCCTGCGCCGCCGTCACGCGCTTCCGCGACGAGGCCGAGGCCGTGGCGCTGGCCAACGACTCGGCCTACGGGCTCGGCGCCGCCATCTTCACGCGCGACCTGGCGCGCGCCCACCGCGTCGCGCGCGCCGTCGAGGCCGGCATGGTCTGGATCAACAGCAGCAACGACACCGACTACCGCGTGCCCTTTGGCGGCGTCAAGCAGAGCGGCGTCGGCAGGGAGCTGGGCGAGGCCGGCATCGAGGCGTATACCGTGGCCAAGAGCGTGCATGTCAATCTCGAGGCGGCCGAGGGGCCATGATCGGATACAAGAAGTCAAGATGAAAGGAAAATGAAAAAGTGGAAGAACATGCCAAGTGGGTGTGCACCTGAAGAATTCAATTACAATAAAAAAAAAGTGTAAAATTCTCAAGACATGCGTAGATTGTCCTGCCATTACATCGTCTTACTCTACAGACATGACGCCTCATCCTTCACAGCCGTTGCATCATGACACCACCCGTCCCCAACTACCAATCACTACGGCCCGGTCTATCCACCGACAGCCTGGCCGACGGCACCCGCAATTTGCGAAAAGACGAGGCCCTTGAAGACGCCCGTCCCGAGATGCTCCGCCCAGTGACCCGCGTCCTCGAGCCTAGCCTTCCAGAGCGCCTTCTGTTCGGCGCTCAGCTCATCCCACGACTGCGCCGGCTTCCCCTTCAGCGTGTCTTCGTGCAGTTCCGCCTTGATCTGCGGTGGCACAGCGACATTCTCCTTGCCCTGCGCCTGCTCGAGATCCGCGTGAGGGATGGCGTCCTCGCGGACAACGTACACCTCGCCCGCCTGGGGTGTTGTCGCCTCGGGCACAAGGCGTGCGAGGAACTCGCCCGGCGTAAGGACCTCGGGGAGCACAGCTTCGACGGCGCGCGCGCCGCCTTTGCCGGGCGTGACCATTGTACCCTTGGGGAAGAACTCGGACGGGTCGACGCCCGACTTGAGCACGTACTGAGCGATCGCGGCGAGTATGACAACGACGACGGTCAGGAGGATGAGGGGTCGCGTAGCCTTGCTCGGGGGCACCAGAGCCACAGCGTAGCGGCTCGGGCGGGGAGGGCCGCCAGCCTTCTTCGCCGGCGCGCCTTGTTGTTTGAGCTTCTTCAGGGGAATTGTGTGAATGGCGACGTCATTGTTGAGGGAGACGGAGGCGAGGTTGATGACGAGGTTCGTGGGGTTCGGAGCCTTGGGCGGTGCAAAGGCAGAGAGAGCGAGAGAAGTAATGTTGAGGGGGTGGACGTCCTTCAACGCCATGACGGGCACGAGCTCAATCAGCAGGTCGAGGTGAGCAGCGGAGCGGTGCTCGACGGTGTAGAGGGATATCGTCTGGAAGCTGGCGACGGCGATGACGAATTGGGTGTTGCCGAGACGGTCCCCGGGTCCGGGAGGCGTGTTGACGTTGCGAACGGCAAACGAGGCGGCGCGCGTCATGAAGCGCGGCAGCTTTGCCGACACGGCCAGACGGCCCTCCTCAATGTCCCCAGACGGCAGGCGAATGCCGTTGAGGCAGACGCCCGAGTTCCGCGGCAGGTTCGACAGCGCCATGATGAAGACGGGGGAGATGTAGCGGATGGCCCTGAAGCTGGGCTGGACACCTGTGCCGTCCTCGGGCATGCTGTAGGCCAGATCAGGGCCCGTGACATCGTCCTTGGTGACGTTGATGACGAACAGTTCGCGCTCGTCGCAGTATGCCACCTGGAAGCTGTCGTCGCCCGTCTGGATGACGTCAAGGTCGGTGGCCTCGCGCGAAATGTCCAAGACACCCCTAGACTTGGGCGGCTGGCCCGGCGTCACCTCAAAGATGACAATCTGGGACCGCTTGGCGAAGCCCGTCGCCACAGCGCCGACCTGCTTCTGGCCGGGGCGTTCTGGGTTGGGCGGGCTCACGCGCAGCAGGCGCTGGTACGTCTCCTTGTCGCCCTCGCCATGCTGGAAAAGCGCCGTCCGCGACAGCTCGTTCAGGACGGCCGTGTGGGCCGTCTTTTCGGACTTGCTGCTGGACGGCGCCATGGAGAAGACGCGGAAGTGTTCGTTCTTGCCCTTCTCGAGCTCGGCCGTGCTCGAGTTGATGCCGGCGTAGACAAAGGTGGGGGCCTTGTTGCTGCCGCCGGGCTTCTTCTGGCCGATGGCGATGGTGTTGACGGCATCTTCGTCGCGGCTGAGGTCGGCTTCGGCAGCGATGCGCGGGTTCTCGGCGAAGGGCGCGTCAACGGCTGTCTTGGTGGAGGGTCAGCCTATTTCTGTACGCGGCGCAGAAGCCGAGGAGGAAGTGGTGGGCCATGGACTCACTATCCTGTTGGGAACACCGCTCCTGTTGGCGCCGCCGCCGCCGCTCACAAGGAGACGGGTCGCATCTTGGGGATCAAAGTCGCAGGCGAAAGGAGGGTAGCCGAGGGCCAGCCTTGTGACAGGCAGAGTGGGCGCCATGGCAGGCTGGCGATGTGGTGGGGATTTGGGGCTGCGCAAAGAGAGGCGCAGGTTCGAGAGACTTGCCGTCGCAGTATCGTGGTTTTCGGACGGCAGAAACACAGGTGACGGAATATGCCTCTTCTCAGGCTGTCGACGAGGGGTTTTGGAGCTCAGGTGCTGAAGTGCAGGTGCGAGGTGCGAGATGCTGAGCGGGCGTGTGGCGATGATGAGGTCTTGAGGGTCCTCGGCCACTGGGGAAGTCGCAAAGGACAGACAGACCTTCCTTCCGTTTTTCACGCCAGATCCGTTCCTGCCTAGCCCCTCCATCCTGGTCCGGCCCGATTGATGGCGCTAGACCAAACATGGCATCGTGCATGGCCCGCATGGGTCGAGCTTTCCCCAACTTTTCTCCAACCGTTCGCTTGGGTCCGCCGAGCCCCAGCTTTTTCCACTGCATATCGAGTTCTCGACCGGGCCTTCTGCGTGCGCTCACTTGCACCTGCACTCGGCGCCGGGCCTTTTCCTGTCAGGTGCAGCCGCGGCGCCAGGGGTCCTTCCATCCCGGGGGGAGGGCCTTCCCTCGTGGCTTGTCGCGACATGTTCACTTGCAGTCTGTCGGGCGTGGGCAGGTGAGGCAAGGTAGTAGGTAAGGAATAGGTGCCTTAGGTTGGTAAGCATATTGAAGTTTCGAGTGTATTCTATGGTTCATCACCACCCCTTTCCGCCTCCTCAGGTTTGGGCTGAAGGACTACCCGATATTATCTCCCCGCACCGACGACCCTATTGTCCAGTGTCCCAGATTTTGCGCCTCCCATCTCCCAGCACCCGGTCACCAGCCTAACCCATCTGTCCGTTCTCAGAGCCGAGCACGCATCAAAATCTCGCCTCAAAGATCTCCGCCGCCGTCACGTCCTCCCAGTGGACACCGTCCAACGTGATCCGCCCAATGTTGCCCAGGTAATTCGAGTCGAGCGGCCTGATCACCCGGCCGTCCCAGCCCATGCTAGAGGAGCTGCTCGCCGAACCGTCACGGCTCCCCTGCACGTGCCGCACGAGCCGTTGCTGCGAGGCAACTTGGTGCTGCTGCTGCTGCTGCTGCTGTCGCTGTTGATTCTGCACCTCGCCGATGTTCGGTGCAGACGCCGACTGGCTGATGCGCGTGCCGTTGCTCATGCGCCGCCCGGCAAGGTTCCAAGGCGCCGCCCGGCCCCCGCGCTGCAGCGTCCACCGACGCAGGCGCTCCGCCTCGACGCAGTCGTGGCACGGCTCGCGCAGGCTCGTCCTCCAGGACCCGTCGGCGGCCGCGCGCGTGACGCAGTCGTAGAGCTCCCACCTGGACGGGTGGGCCGGAATGCGGCGGCAGCGGTAGACAACGCACTCGAGGTGGCCGCAGCTGTAGCTGTAGTAGACCGTCTGGCACATGCTGCCTGCGGGGTGCCCTTGTGGTAGCTTGCAGACGGACGAGTCCAGAGATTGTGTTGGGAAAAAACAGAATAGACAGGACTCCCAGGATGGGGACCTCCTCGAAGCGTGATATGAATCTAGGCAGGAGCTTGCGAGCACATGACAAATCTAGGTCGTTTCTCGAATGAATGTGTAAATGGTATAGTTCGGCTGCTTCTCCGTCTCTCTCGGTGACATTGACTTCTTCGTAGGACCGGGTTGTGATGACGTTGGTAAAAATCTGAAATATGTAGGGAGTGTGTACAGAGGCCCGCTGGTCTCTAGGTGAACGACAGGAAAGGGCCATCAATCAGCACCATCAGTGAGCTCGGTCGAGGTCGAGGTGATCGAGGTATATTAGTTGGTGGAGGAAAGAAAGCCGACTCGAATCTCGGGCAGCCCAAGGTATTTCTACGCTCGGTGGCGTTGATGGAAGAGGGGTGAAGAAGAGAGCCTTGAAAGGCCAGCTCCTCCACCTACCTTATTCAAGAGTTGCAGCTCTGCATCCTGGGTCTTCCATTCAACAGGCAAGCGTGGAGAATGTACGTCCCTTGGCCGTTTGATCCTGCCAGTAGGGGAGGGGAGGCCAACGTCAACACGTAAGAGCTGAGGCCATGTTCGGAAAACCACAAGCTTTGTAGAGCACGAGTACAAAGGCAGCACGAACTGGTAACAAATAATGCCATGTTTGATTTCATTCACCTCGCCCCCAAGGCCCAACGCACGACTCCATTCACTCGCCCAGACGCCGCGTCGTTGCCATCGCCCCCGCCCCCCGCTCCCTAATCCACCAGAATCTTCTCCTCGAGCTCGCCGTACCGTTCGTAGAAGCTCTCAAACAGCCTCACCGCAAACTCGACGTCCTTGCTGCCCCCCGTCTCCCGGATCGAGTGCATGCTGAGCTGCGGGTTGCCCAGGTCGAGGGTCCGGACGCCGAGCTTGGCGCTGAGCATGGGGCCGATGGTGCTGCCGCAGGGCGAGTCGTTGCGCACGACAAACAGCTGCAGCGGCACGCCGGCGTGGCGCGCGCTCTCCTGCAGCAGCACGATGCCGGGTGAGTTGGTCGCGTACCGCTGGTTGGCGTTGATCTTGATGACGGTGCCGCCGTTCATGGCCGGCTGGTGCGACGCCTCGTACTTGCCCGCGTAGTTGGGGTGCACCGAGTGCGCCATGTCCGCCGACACGAGGAACGACCGGCTGAGCGTCTGCTCGTAGGCCGTCGACTGGATGCTCTCCTCGAGGTGCGGCAGGGCGTCGTTGACAGAGTCGTACGACGCGTCCGACGCCGTGTCGCTGCGGCCCGCGGGGAGCACCGACAGCCGCCGGAGGATGGCCGGCAGGAGGTTCGAGTTGGCGCCCTGCGCAGACGTCGAGCCGATCTCCTCGTGGTCGAAGCAGGTCACCAGCCGGATGGTGTGGTCCTCGTCGAGGGCGGCCGAGTCGCGGAGCGACGTGATGAGGCCCATGATGGAGCAGTACGTCATGCCGAGGTTGTCGAGACGCGGGGAGAAGACAAACTCGTCGTTGAGACCGCCGAGGCAAGCGGGCTGCGTGTCGTAGAGCACGAGCTCAAAGTCCACAACGTTGGAGGCGTCGACCTCAGCGTGCGAGGCGATGACGTCGATTATGTGCGGGTGGTGGCGCTCCGTCAGGTCCCTGAGGGGCTTGAAATCCTCTTCCGCCTCTTCATTGCCCTCCACTTGTGTCTCTGAAGCGCTCTTGTTCAGCTCTGCCGACGCGAGACCGGCAATGGGAAACAGCTCGACCTCCTTGTTGGGGTCGAAGCTCGAGCTGCGGTCAAGGTGGATGGCCAGTGTCGGGATACGCAGGAGGGGCTTGTCGACCTTGATGAGCTTCTGTGTGAAGGTGCCGGTGGAGTCCTTGACAAGCACCCGGCCAGCAATGCTGAGATCGCGGTCGAACCAGCTATGCCAGATGCCTCCACCGTACGTCTCGACGCCGACCTGGAGGAAGCCGTTGTTGCCCTTCTTCGAAACAGGCTTGATGCGGAGGCAGGGCGAGTCGGTATGCGCGCCGATCATGCCGACGGGGTTGCCGGGACGCCATTTCTTGCCAATCGCAAAGGCGACGATCGAGGAGCCGTTGCGGGTCAGGTAGTATTTGCCGCCGGGTCGGAGGGTCGACGCCCAAGAGTCTCGCTCCTTGATCTTGCTGAAGCCAGCCTTCTCCAGGCGGGCAGCGGCGTTGGCGCAGGCGTGGTAGGCTGTACTTCAGGCATCAGAGAGACGAAGGGCAGACAAACACGCTTGTCCAGGTAGACTCACGGGCGGGAGAGGCGTTGACAAAGTCGATGAAGTCGAGGGCAGTCTTATCGGGAGCCATGATGACAGCTGAGGTCGAAAACCGGGTGCGGGCTTTGATGGGTGATGTCGGTCGCGGGACTGAGAAGGCTAGAGCTTTAATTGCGTTGTTGCTGCAAGACACGAGGCGTCCTGACAGCATTGGCGTGGATCGAAAATGGCAAAGGGCAATGGAGATGCGGCGGCCATGAATGATCTGTGGTGATCACGAGGGGAAGTCAACATGCAAGCTTATCGTTATCAGTCAAACTGCGGTTGGGTAGTTGTAGCGCACCGAAGACATCACGGGTTGTAGGCTTTTGCGTGTGACTATAGATAATGGGTTGGATAGCTCAGCAACGCGTGCTTCGGACGTCCTTGCTGGAAAGATTCCCCTCATGTTTGTATTTGTGCTTTGGAATTATGCATCTGTCTATTCCTGTGGCCATTGGGGTTGCGCGGCATGGTGACACCAAGCTCTTCCAATCGAGTCTCCCGTCGAGACAAGCCATGTGCGTCAGCTGTGCTACGTGTATGCCATCGTCTGGTAGAGAGCATGGCTGGCTTGGCATCATTGTGCCTCGATAATTCACAGCAACACTGCCGCATACACGGGAAGAGCGAATCTTGGAATCTATCGCGAGGCGTGCGAAAGGCTTCACTTGTATGGGAGAGCACCCTGCCAATCCTGCTGCAGCACAGCTAGAATGCCAAGGAGTTGCAACACTAGCAGTTCGTAGTTGAAACTGTAATTCCGTTGAAAGAGTGAACATATCGATTTCAAGTTTGTATAGATGACCAGACTTGGATTTCGACTTGCCATGGCTTGGTCCGTTGGTGAGTTGCTGTAACAGTTGAAATCCCACCCGAGCATACCGTGCCCGTTGCATGTGACTTCGGGGAACGTGTCTTGCATAGATCTTGAATACACAGTATGAAGCAGCCGAATTTCTTGCTTCTGTGGCTCAGTTGCAGGCCAATCCTGGAGTCAAAGACAACATCTAGTCTCGAACTCGAATGTTTGATGACATGAGAAACCATACGAGCATACACAGCAGCGTAAAAAAAGACTTAAACATCTCCTGCGCATGTCTTGGATGAGGTGCGATCACCTCAAGATACCATACACCTCTTACATCAAGGCAGCTCGGTGGCTCGGTAGGTATGTAACGGAAGACTCGCACTAGTGTCACAGAGGTCCCATTTCCTGAAGCGAATCAACGTCACATGGCCGAGGGCAACACCACGAAACGTCACGATAGGTCGCAGACCGCACTCAAATATGCGGTGCTCTCGGAATTACGGACTTTATATAGGCCCACGACGGTAAGAATTCTTGACCAGCCCATGAGCCACTTCAGCCCTTGTTCCCGCCACCGTCGGGGTTGGGGCAGATCAGTTCATGCTCCGTGGCCAGGAATGACAAGGTGAGAACGTAGACGGCAGGTATCATTCACGAGCAACCTCTGCTTGAAGCATGTCCACGAAAAACTCTGTGGAGTTGAGATCAGACTGGAGAAGATAATGTAAAGTCTCAGCGGACACTGAATATACTCTGTACCATGGCTATTCATGCAGATGACCCCTGGACATCCCGGTCGTGCAAGGTCTTGTTCAGCGCGCAAGAAACAGATACGGCCCTCCAATGTGCAAGGGTAATGGTCTGCAAAAGCGCGCGGCAGCCACTGCCGGGTTTGACAAAGCCTCGAGTCACTCGTATGCCTGCCTGGATGCACGGTTTCCAAAACACCATCTCAAATACCTCATCATGTGCTTGCTGTAGATGTTTCGCCATGGCGCGCCTCGTCTTCCACCAAATAGTCAGAGAATGCATGAGACATTCTCCGGAGGCTTGTTCAATGGCCATCATGCCCTGGCCTACCTTGCCCATAATTTATGCTCGTATGTGTTTTTGTGATCATCTCACTATTGATCGACCCTAGCGCCTCAGAGGGGGGGGGGGGCTCCTCTGCTCCTCAATGGCAGGCTGCTGGGTAGTACCACCAGATGGACGACGATATGAACCAGCGCCGTGAAAATACTACTGGAAGTAGCCTTGACCGTGAGGAAAAGTCAAAAGTGGCGGAGAAAAGAAACGAAGCCTGCCATCATCGACATTCTGTGCACCATTTTCTTTCCTCGGGGCACTTGGAGGAACAGTCGTACGAGAGGCCATTCCACATCGCCTTCATCACGCCATCGCTCAGCGGAAATCTTGCCATGACCGCACCAAGGAGGTCACGCGCCCAAGGCACCATCACGACAGCAACAAGCGTAGGGGGGATGAAGAAGCAGAACACGATCCTCTTTTCAAATCCAACCGGACCCAAATCCAGCCAGACCGACTCAAAACCCCTCATGTCACAATTTAGGATGATTCTCCTCCCCCCACCACAGGAAAGAAACACACATCCTCAAAGAACAGAATGCTTCGGCAGCTGCCCTCTGTATTAAGTAAACCGCAAACGGCCAAGGGGGTTCAGCTTTGGGTGTGGGGAGGGGTTGTTTGCCTTGTCGGTTACCTTAGGTACCTAGGTACGTAGGTAGGTACCTGGTAGCCAGTGACCAAACGGTCATCGATTGCCACCAAAAGCTGGCGTGGCGTCCTTGACACTCCAGCAGCCCGGCGGGGGAAGGGGAGGGGGAAAAGAAGGCTGCTGCCAAGCACCCCGGACGCAGATCCTAGGGGTCCAACAGTGCCCGGTTCATCAGCCACGCCGCGCCACTCAACGTCAGATCGACCCTTTCAACCAAGCGCGCGCGCGCACACAGGTTCCTGCAGCCGAGGAAGGACCTTGCATTGGGTGCCGGTGTGAGAGAGAAAGCCACCTCCACCACATCTTAACCACTTTCGCCCCCCCCCCCCCGCCGTCCCCCTTCAAGCGCCGCCGCGCCATGTCACCCTCGCTCAACCCTGCCATTTCGAGAGAAAGGCAGGGAGAGAGGGAGACATAGGATAGCTTCCGTCGCCAACTAATGACAACTTAGACTTGGCCCCGCGCGGCTCCCAAATCTGCCAAGGTCAATACGACCGAAGGACCAAGATGGGATAAAATCAAATCACGCCGAGGCAACGTCGAGAAAGTCCGCCACATACCCTCTCAGTCTGCCCATGACCAGTGCCGTCTGGTAGGTAGGTATTCAATACCATCCTTGCCCTCTTCCTCGTCTCCCTGCGTCTCGCTGCGGCGCAGAACACGCCCGTCACACCGCGCTTCCTCCTCCACCCTCCGGGCCAGCGAGACGCCAACGACGAAGCCAGCCTTGATCGAGGTAAGACTTTCTCCATTTTGGGCGAGGCCGGCGTGTGCGTGGCGTCACCAGTCTCCCCTTCGCCCACCCAATCCCACCACCACCGTCTCCTTGCCAGGACCTACTGCGCTCCCGTCTCCCTGATTTGCTTCTTTTTGTTGCACTCTTTCAGTTTACGCGGCCGCGCGCACGGTCAGTCCGTTGCCTGGCCCGCGCCTCATCAATTCATGCGGTGGGTGGCAGAGGGTATGCGACGAAGAGCATACTGCCCGGCCGACTGACAGACCGACCGACCATCATCAATGAACCGAGAGACGAGGTTGCCCGGAAAAGGCATGTGTCAATTTGGCTCATCAATGATGCTTGTCCATCTGTGCGGCCAGAAAAGGAAGAATCGTAGGCCAAAAATTCAGACACCCACACCCACCCACGCTGATGGCCTTGTCATGGCCAGTCGTACCAAGCTGATGATGCGACAACGGAAGCTGAACTCCTAGCTGCCGTCCATCCCGTAGATGGCGACCCTGTCGTGGTACCAAGAACCAGCGCAGGCCAGCTCCCGCCCGCGACAGGGGTGTCCCCAGCTGCTCCAGCTCCCCTCTTTGAATAATTGGAATTGCATTCGTTTCCCTACACCCCTCTCTCCGTCCCTTGAGAGAAACAAAATTTCTCGTGGGGACGCTACGCATGGCAATCAAGACTGCATTCCTGACCCATTACCGAGCCTTCCTTGGCAGACATGGCAACGACAAGCAGACGGTTGGGAAAACACAACAACCATCATGCGTAGCATGCGAGAGGAGTGCAGTTGTGCCTGGTACACTTGAGCTTGGTCGATGAGACACGTTCAAGTGCCCTTCGGCGGCATGCCCGGGAGTGGTCGAGTCCTTGGTGGGCTGCCAAATAGAGTTTGTCACGCTCTCGACAGACTGACGGACACGCGATTATCGTTAAGCTACCAGACCGATGGGTTGGTCTTGCGTAGACACGTATCGTCCTCGAGACCTCGCATTGGGGATGCTGACCCTGTCGTGGAGTCAAGCCGGCAAGACCTGGCACTGACCTGCTCATGTTGCTACAGTCTTCATTCTGTAACTGGAAACCAGGCCAACGATCATTGCGACATTCCACATGTTGTGCCTTCGGATGGCCAGACCGTATTGATCATTGAACGATTGCATCGTGTTATAAAATCAACGGATCACTTCCAACTGTCTTGTTTGCGAGCAATTCTGACATGGCAAGAGCCTGGCATTCGTGGGCATCGCCAGGATGACAAGGATGCACCTCTTCAAGGCCAGTCCGAGGCAAAACACCACCCATGAGATGGCGGGCCCTTGTCTTCTCTAACCCGACAAGCCAAGGGGCCCCTGCTGATTGGTGGACCCCTGGTCTTTCTACCCCCTTGCAGCTTGGGGGTGACGGATGTGTATTGGCGATCAGACGCGACCGAAGCATGTCAAACGGCTGGCTGCCGAATGGCTCACAATCACTGCCTCGAACACACAGTATTGTACAACAGAGATCTTCTGCATTTTGTAGATGGAACTGGCCCACAAGCCGCAGGAGAAACGATCTGGCTTTACGTCTGGCAGCCCCTCAAGATGATTGAAAGCGGCGACGAGAGAACTTGGAGTGACAGCATGGTCTACCAGGATAGCCATGAACCGTGCGCGGCGGTGACGGGGTTGGTCCCTGGGGGTCAGTGATGAATGCCAGGGGTGTAGTTCGTGTCTTGGCTGCGATCGTGACATGGCAGAGGGTAGGAAATAAGTAGGAGATCGCCTGCTG